ACGTGATAAATGTATTGGTTTAAAAGGTACCCTGTGTTCCGTTGTTCATAAGGGTAAAATGTAGTTTTCTCTCATGAGACAAACTTTTCTTAGTGGGGAGGAATGTGGGGACTGGCCCTTTCACTCCTGCCACTCAAGCTTAAATGGTTATTTGCATAAGCCTATGAGAGCGCTGGAGGGGCAGAGTCAATGAATATGAGTCAGATAGAGTCAGATAGAGATTGGGATGAGATGCTGATAGAGATAGGGCTGGTTAGTCAGAGAGAGAGGGAACAGATACTGAGATCGTTCGTTTAGTCGTGTCCGACTCTTCATGACCCCATGGACCAGAGCACGCCAGGCAATCCTATCTTCCACTGCCTCCTGTAGTTGTGTCAAATTCATGTTGGTTGCTTCGCAGACACTGTCCAGCCATCTCATCCTCAGTCGTCCCCTTCTCCTCTTGCCGTCGCACTTTCCTAACATCAAGGTTTTTTCCAGGGAGTCTTCTCTTCTCATGAGATGGCCAAAGTGCTGGAGCCTCAGCTTCAGGATCTGTCCTTCCAGTGAGCACTCAGGGTTGATTTCCTTTAGAATTGATAGGTTTGTTCTCCTTGCAGTCCAGGGGATTCCCAAGAGCCTCCTGATACTGAGATAGATAGGGTTAATCACAGAGATAGAGCTAATTAGGAAAATAGTTAGAGAAGGTGGTAATGATATCCCAAGAGAAAAGAAGTATGTACTGAGAGAACTGTTGATGAATTGCTTACGTATAATGTGTATCTGAAGAACTTCTATTATTATTCAATCTGCTTCACTTCAATAAGTTCTGTTTCTGTTCACAAGATGAGTGTTCTGATATATGTCATTTATATTGTGGATTGAAGTAATCCAATAGTGGCAGCGAGAAGAAAATGTGACATGAGCCTTTGTGAGGGGAAAACAAGTAAGGGCCACGAGGGCAAACGCCCCAGTGCCCCAGTTCCACCTTCCCTGAATGAGATACACAGGAATTACACTCCAAGGTGTCCTTGGCTACTTAGAAAAAGAATTTACTATGGAACTTGACATTCCAGAGGGCTACAGTCATCTTAGCCATGCTTTCCCTGCCTTTTTCCAATTTTTTGGTTCTGCCATTCCCCACTACCTCACTTCACTGCCCGTTTTTTAAAGGAAAAGTATGCAAGAATAAATAAAAATACATTGTATGTTACAACTCAGTTGGATTTGATTACTCTGTTCATTCATTCATGGCATTTTAATCCAGCTCCTTTCTCCCCTACCACCACCACTACCTTCAAGAGCTATCTTGATGAATTACAAAGGCAATTTGAAGGTGCACTTTGTGCTGCTTACTCTAGGCAACAAAATTGCTACTTACATGTGGCTGGTGGTCTACCAAGGGAAATTGTTACATATACAGAAGACAAGTTGTAAGCAAGTACAATTCTGACAGGCCAGATCATCATTCCTGATGGAATCTGTTCCAGGATTTCTGGGAGTTGAAGTCCAAGAACATTTGGAGGCCCATGGTTGGGGACCCCTGGTCTAAATGATGACAGGGCAGGTCATCATTCCTGATCATGGGGAATCTGTTCAGGCATCTGCCTTAGTTTCCAATATCCTGGTTTTGTGGAGTTTGGTCCAGTGGGAGAGGGCCTGAACTCTGCTTTGACACTGGCAGGTTTTGGCAATACCGTGTAATAATGGACTCAACAGCAAAAACTACCATCCTGTCAAGGATATATACCAAAGATCAGGTGACATCAGTAGAAATGGACTAGAGAAATAATGGAATGTGGTGGTGCTGCAGGTTAAACTGCAGAAGCCTCTGTGCTATAAGGTCTGTAGATCTTCAGCTGTAAGATCGAATACATGTGACGGAGTGAGTGCCCATCGTTTTGTCCCAGCTCCCGCCAACCTAGTTCGAAAGCATGCAAATGCGAGTAGATAAATAGGGACCACCTCGGTGGGATGGTAACAGCATTCAGCACTGGCCATGTGACCACGGCCATTGTCTTCGGACAAACACTGGCTCTATGGCTTGGAAACGGGGATGAGCACCACCCCGTAGAGTCGAAGACGACTGGACAAAATTGTCAAGGGGAACCTTTACCTTTACCTAGAGAAATAATAAAACTCTTGCATTATTAGCCTTTTGTAACCCTGTACAGTTGCTGTTTGCTGTGGCAACTAAGAAATTATCCCATTCTTCCAGAAAATGTTTTGTGCAACTCTGGAATCCTGCTTTGTACTGTATTTTTTAAAAAGCATTATCTTCCTTATTTAGATTTTACTATATATATATCTAAACATACTGACAGTAGTTTTATTTAAATTGTATTTCTTAGTATTGTTTCTCCCTTTGTATTTTTGTTTATTTTTAAAAAAATTCTATTTATATCCCACCTATTTGGTCAGTTACGACCACTCTAGGCAGCTTACAACATAAAATACATGAATAAAATATAAAAAGATTACCATGTATGATTTTAACAGCCTATAGTTAAATAAAACTAAAGTTGTGTGGATGTATGAAATCTCCCCATATTCTAGTAGTAGTTTGGGATGGGGGCGCTGCTTTATAGATTTTGCCTTTGTTTGCTTGCTTGCCTTTCTTGGCTTTTTGGGGAGACAAGGCTGTGTGTTTTGCTATTTTTTCATGTGATGTGTGTATTTTCCCTTTTTGATGGATTTCTTTAGAAAAACACTGTTATTTGGTTAATATACTCTATTCTTTTAAAGATTTACACTTTGCTGAGGTTTTTGAGGATGTTTGCTTCTATAGCATGCATGGAAGTGCTATGCAAGTGTGCTGCTGAGGTGTTGTTTTTGGTTGAGCACAGCTTGGGCCATTCCTCTCTTCTTCTGTGTTGTGATGGTGGTGCCTGCCTGCTTCACCTTCTTCTATTCTATTGAGCAGGCCTAGAGGGTCTCTGTTATGCTGAGTGCTTTTCTAATTTTGGGGTGCTTTACTGCTCCCCCAACATAATTTTTCCTATCTACTGTTTTCTTTGGGAATAGAATGGTGTCTGTTGCCCTGCCACTGCTTTTTTGAGTTTTAAAGTGGTATTTTGGTTGGAGTGCCAGAAAACAAAGATGTGAGAAAATGAACAGAACCTGAAAGAGATTATCCCTTTCCTATAAGACAAAACAAAACAAAAATCAGTGAACAAAATATACACAAATTAAAGCAGCACACACCGCAAACAACACTAAAAAACAAAAAACATTGTTGCCATTTATTTATTGTTTTGATGTCTATAAAGCAAAGCAAAAATATACTGCCCAATAGTGCTAGAAAACTCTCTCAGCAGTTCATAGCATAATTATGCAAGGAATACTTTGCCCCCAATAAACTGGATAGTCATTTTACAACAGCATGGAAGGATGAGTCAGCCTTGAGCTTGCCATTTGAGTCCATTGGGATCAAACTCAGACCATGAGCAGAGGCTTGACTGTAGCACAGTAGGACCCCCATATCTGCTGGGCATTATTTCCAAGCCCCCGCATTGATACTGAAAACTGTGGATAATAGCAAACACTATATGTACAGTACTGTATTGTAAAAGGAAAATTTAAAAAACAGGACGTTTCACAGAATCAGCTGCTAGAAAGCACCAGAAACCATGCCATGTATTCTTCACCAACAAGTATTCATAGCATGGTCTCTGGCTCTTTCTAGCGTCTGGATAATATATTATATGTGAAAATTGTTTTTTTTTCCCCTGGATTTTTTCTTCTAGTATTTTTGTTTTCAGACCGTGGGTAAGTGAAAATCAGTGATCCTGTGGATAACGGGGTCCTGCTGCTGTTAAATCGTCTCTGGCTCTTTCTAGCGTCTGGTTTTGATAATATATGTGAAAATTGTTTTTTTTTCCCCTGGATTTTTTCTTCTAGTATTTTTGTTTTCAGACCGTGGGTAAGTGAAAATCAGTGATCCTGTGGATAACGGGGTCCTGCTGTGCTGCTGTTAAATCACGACACTACAGGACTAATCATGTTACATATCAGTATAATTTATTAATAATTTATAATAGAAATGACTTTTTAAAATTTTGCTTAGAAGCTGAACAGCATATTTATATCTATAAATTTAAGGATTTTCCCCCAATGTTGAGACTGCAGGGACAGCAAGAACTGTTGCCTCCTGAAGGGCAAATTAAATGGGAGTCAGACTGTGGTCACCAGGGCACATCAAAAAGATCTTGGGGCTGCATATTACTCAGCCATAAGTGATATGCACACTGATAGTCTAGTGCTTTTTAAAAATGTGTCTGACATGTCTTATGATGAACTGCTAAACTGTTTGAGATGCTGCAGTGCTTTTTTAAAAATGTGTCTGACATGTCTTATGAATTGCTAAACTGTATGAGATGCTGTTCAACTCCCTACTGAAGTGCATAATAATACAGAGAGAGCCAGAGGGCAACCTGTAGACTGCATCCAACCTCTGCCAGCCTTTTTTGTATCCCTAGTGTTGACCATCCCAGTGAGCAAAAGGGGTAAATTTCCATTCCTGGAAGACAGTGAGAGTGACAATTTTACATCAAACTAGGTGCCCATGCCCTCCCCACACCGTATTTAATTCCCCAAACACCACAAAAGTGGAACTGGACATCTTGCCACTTCCAATTCTGTTTCCCCTCCTCACCCTTTGCCTTTTTTTGGCTTGGTAACAGATCCTGGTACCTGGGTCTTCTGAAGTTGTCCACTCCCAAAATAATGAATTCAGCTAAGTAATGAGCATGTGTCAAGACAATGTGTAAGGAATGTAAGGGCAAGGAAGCTATGCTAACACCGGACAGGAAACCTTTTGCTAGTGGAGATCAGCAGAATTGTTCAAATAAGGCCTACACCGTTCCTACCAGTGAAATTGGTTGTTGAGACACAGGGTGGGCAAGGCATCAGTTCTGAATTGAAAAAGGCCCACCATGAAAAACAGTGCAGAACCAAGTATACAGCAGCTAGTTTTGAATTCTTATAAAAGGGTAAAGGTAACAGTGGAACAAACAGACAAATAATTATGAACTTCTATTTTGCAGCCATGCAGATTAGACACTCATTTGCAATTAGAATGCAGTAACTCAAGGGGGGAGAGGGAACAATGCAACAGCTTTAGCACAGTAAACACATCACAGACTGCTAAACACTGATTTCCCATTGCTTATTCTCTCTCCTCAAATGTCTCGAAAACAGGTTATTCTCAGTTTTAAGGATTAGAAATAGGTGTATTTTACTCCACATTAGAAGCAGAGCATTCGGATTACTACCAAGAAAGAAGATATGCCAAGGACTAGCTTACTACCCACTGTAATGGGGCTGCCATTACACAAGTCTTTTTGGCAGCATGAGAGTTTCAAATTTTTAACATTGAAGTGTTCCCCAACTTTATCCACATCACAGTCAGAATATTTCCAGCAGTCCTTTTCAATTCTTGAACCTGAAAAAGAAAACCCAAGATTTATCTGTGAAGATTCTCAGTCATCCATATGAGGTTATCTGGAACCTGAGTCATGGCAACTGGACTTCTTTCTTATTAGGTTGAAACATTTTGCTACTCATCCAAGTAGCTTCAGTCTGAACTGAAGAAGCTGCATGGATGAGTAGCGAAGTGTTTCAACCCAAGAAGGAAGTCCAGTTGCCATGACTCAACTTCCAAAAAAGCCAAGATTATTACACATACATGAAATAATCTGTTAGGCAGAAAATATGCGTCTTTTCCTAGGTGCGCATACACAAGTGCCTGAAATGTTTTCTAAACATTTCTGGTTTCCACAAAGAACTGTCAATCAACCAATTAAAAAAAATTAAACCATGCCTTAAATGATTTTTACAATATAATTAAGCTTTGTTTTATTCACCATACCATGTCTCTACAACTGCAATGGCAGTAACTCTTAATTTGTTTTATTCACCATACCATGTCTCTACCACAACTGCAATGGCAGTAACTCTTACTCGTTTATGCTTAAATCTTCTTTCTGCAACATACTGTTCATTTCTGTATTGCATTTTCACTGCTTCTAATGATTATTCATCATTTAAACATTTTGTCTTTATTTGTTTATTTGATTGCTATACTGCCTATCCAACAAATCACTACTCCTTTTTTTTCAATGAATGTTAAGATTACTTGATTTTTGGTATGGTTCTGATTTAACCATTTTTCACATACTCAATAGACCATGCCAAAACAGGGAATCTGGGAACCATCTTTCATCCCCTTCTTGCACTAGGTCTCCAACCCAAGTTCTTTAGTATGCAAAAAAGACAAGCAGCTATCTTTTACTGGGTCAGTGATTTGTTTGTCCCACTAGACCTGCACTCTCTGCTCTGACTGGCAGCCCTCCTGCGAGATCTCAACACACCTGGCACAAATGCATGAGTGTTTTTATTACACTTCTCACAAATCAAGCATAACTGATTTAAAGTAAAGCACTTACCAAGGTCTACCTTTATACAAGCATCCTGTTCAGCCGAACACGTTTTATTAACATTGCATGGAGAGATTCTACAAGTAAAACATCTCAAGGCACTTCCTAAAAACAAAACAGTGTGAATGAAGTCTTTTGTATTAGAATTAAAATGAATTGATAAAAAGTTTGAACACCTTTTTAAGTAAAAAAAAATCTGCCTTCATTGAAGGATACCATTAACTTCCGTTACTAATCAGGGGTGAGGCAGCTACAGAAGTCAGCTGAAGTACAGCATCGAGTGGGTAGATTTGAGAAATGGACAGGGCTGGATGAAGAGTTAGGAGAGGATTTCCATACAAAAGATGTGGGTGAGTCCTCATTCCTTGTGAACTGCTCTTTGCCACCTTGTCTGGTGATGTCTGTCCCATCCTACTCCCCTAAGCAATTCTCAAACATACTAATTAAGGGTGGGCAGGATTATCTCTGAGATAAGGAGGTCTTCCTTCAGTTCCAGTTTGGCCCACCAAACCACATGCCTATCACTATCTGCCACTGTTATAAAAACAAACAAAAACCAATCACAATGCAACACTGAAGCACAAGTTCACCTGCTCTGCCATACCTCTGGATTATGGCCAAATCCAGAGGCATGGGAGATTATGGCTCCTCTAGATTTCCCTGCTCATCTCCTTCCTCTAATTTTACAACATTTTCCTGGAGTACTTTAATACTTACCCGAAGAACAGAACAAAGCCAGAAGAAAGACAGTGATCAAAGTTATGACTGAGAGACACTTCATTTTCTTATTAACTTTTTCTCCTTAACCTACAAAGCAAGAAAGAATGTTGATTGGTGCTGGATGTTCTTAAACAAGGACTGATCTGTACAAAAACTAAATTGGATGTTGAGCACAGATAACAGTATCCCAAAAGTTGATTTCTAGCCTTTCTAAGTTCCATTTTTAACCTTTATAAAGGAGATTGTTAAATATGTTGGCAATACCTGGCAACCTCTTAAACATGGCAGTATCGGACAAATATATTTTTGTGTTCTTGAAGGCTTTCACAGCTGGGATCCGATGGTTGTTGTGGGGTTTTCGGGCTGTTTGGCCATGTTCAGGAGGCTTTTCTTCCTAACATTTCACCAGGGGGGATCTGTCTGTGTTCTGGTGGAGTGTGTGGGATTGTTAAGTATCTGTAGCTGTGGGATAAGGTATTTTTGTTGCTGTTCTTTTCAGGAGATTGGTTGTTTCCTGTGATTTGGGTGTTTTGTCATGGGTTTTGTCTTGTGATAAGGGGGGGAGATGATCTGTCACTGTGATTGCCGGGTGTCCTTGGGTAGTCCTTTTTTTGCAGTGATCAAGACTAGCCAACATCACCCATCAATCACAGTGACAGATTTTTCCTCCCCATCACAACAAAACACGCATAACAAAATACTTGGATCACAGGAAACACCCAATCTCTTGAAAAGGAAAAGGAAACCTTATCTCACAGCTACCAATATCCAACAATTCCAAACACTACACCAGAACACAGACAGAACCCCAGCTCCTGTCCTCTGAAGATGCTGGCCACAGAGACTGGTGAAATATAAGGAAGAAAATCCTCTAGAACACAGCCAAACAGCCCAAAAAACCCCACAGCAACCATATATATTTCTGTTTAATTCCTTGCATTCCCCATGGCTAGGAGAAGACAATGGCTGAAATCCAGTAGAAAGCTGCAACTGGAGTAGACCTATTGAATCAGTGGACCTTACAGATGAGTTCTCCAAACATGTACTGATTTAATGGGCCTAGTCCAAATGTCACTACTGAATTTCAGCCAATATTACACAGGCCATAGGGTTCAGTTATTATTCACATAATAATGTTGGGTATTTGCAGCCTTTTGGTTTCAAGAGCCAGTGCGTAGAAATTCCAAACCTTGCTACAAAAAGAGTAGAGGCTGAGCCTCACAAGAACTGATAATCTCTCCCAAATATGTGACATTAATTTATGGACAGTGTTTCTACACTATCCATAAAGGGGTGTGCTTGGAGCCTGAAGGAGTAGATTTCATCCACAAAAACTTGATTTTTGTTTTTTTTAATAGTCCAATAAAAGGTATCACCTACTCCTGCATACTGACATAAGCTTTCACTTGGTCCAGAGTTTATTTTAGCTACAGTTTTGCATTTTTAATATTCAGTTCTCAAAATGTAATACAAAAACCTTAATGATGTTGTTAAATTACTATTTCACCACTTATGTACAATGGGTTGAACTGCTTCGTACATTTGCATTTGTTGTTGATTTCAGTTGTACAGCTGGTGACTTACAAAACTGATACCACTATATCTCCTAGAAGACTGCTCAAGGCTCATTACCTTATTCCACAGGGGGGGGGGAGAATGACAGCTTTAGGAGAACTTTTCACTTCTCATATCACTGAGAAAAAATGAGCCCATCTTACCAGAATTAACACAAACCAATTTACTCTTCTTTTCTACCCAACTGCTGTCTCACTTGAAAAAAACAAAGAGCCAAGAGAGACTACATCTGCCTCTGACTTTGTATTTTTAATCTTCTCAAGGCCAGCCAATGGAAACCAATGACAGCTTTAGGAGAACTTTTCACTTCTCATATCACTGAGAAAAAATGAGCCCATCTTACCAGAATTAACACAAACCAATTTACTCTTCTTTTCTACCCAACTGCTGTCTCACTTGAAAAAAACAAAGAGCCAAGAGAGACTACATCTGCCTCTGACTTTTTATTTTTAATCTTCTCACGGCCAGCCAATGGAAACCTTTTTTTTGGCAGCAGCATTCCTGAAGTGAAAGGCGAATATGCAAACAGTATTTGACATGAATGCACTTGCTCCTCCTGTTAATGAGCCAGAAACCTTAGAGCAACAAAGTCAGTACTGGACCAGTTACAACCAGACATTCTCCAACCAACCTCACCACCAGAACTTCAGCAAGAACAGCAGTTTCAGACAGGTGAGAGATGGAACCTCTTTGCTGTCCTTCCAAAAGCTGGCAAAGACCTTCTCTTCAGGCAAGCTTTCCCTTAGTTGGCCAGCTTCATGAGTGACTGGCCACATGGCTGGCTACATGAGTCACCTTTAGAGGATTGTTATGCATTACAGCAGTGGTCCCCAACCTTGGGCCTCCAGGTGTTCTTGGACTACATCTCCCAGAAATTTTGGCCAGCAGAGGTGGTGATGAAGGCTTCTGGGAGCTGTAGTCCAAGAACATCAGGAGGCCCAAGGTTGGAGACCACTGCATTACAGCTCTGACTGGTTCTTTGTTTTTACCATCTCTCAGAGTGGTATTTTTGTTCCTTTTAGTTATTCTCAGAGTGGTATTTGTTTGTTCCTTTTAGTTAATTGCTGTTCTTGCTGAAGTTCTGGTGGTGAGGTTGGTTGGAGAATGTCTGGTTGTATTTGCATATTGTTTTAGCTCTAATGTTGTATTTTAATGATGTAATCTGCTTCTTTATACTTATTGTTCTTAGCTTTAAATATTGTCTTTCAAGGATGTAAGCCACCCTCCTGGGTCCTTTTTAAGGTGAAAGGTGGTACAAAAATATTTTAAATAAATAAACAAAAGCACAACTACCATCTACTCAAATGAGTGTCATTGGAGAAATTAATGATTAGCAGCAGCCAGTAGGAAAACCTGCTAATGGAACAGTGGGGAGATATATGTTCTTTCACAGCAAGGAAGAACAATGGAAGTCTTAAAATTCCTAGCAGAGGCTACATCTGTGGTACTTCTGCATACATCTACCAAGGATGTACTCCAGCCATGCACAGAGAGTGGAAGCACCCCTTTTTTGAAGTGGCAACTGGTGCAACAGGATCATCAGAGGCAAAGTCAAAGAGATCATCAGAGTGTAGCCAAATAGATACAATTTTCTCCCTAATCTTTCTTTTCACCTTGAGGTCTGGACACCTCTTTTTCTAGAAATTAAACACACTATAATTATCATGAAGTTTAAAAACAATTGCCACTAAATTCTACCCAAAAGCAATGGAACACACAGGGCAAAATCACACTACCATAACTTTGTACAGCATAAACTGGATCAGGTGCTGGAACTTTTAAAACAATTAAAAGCCCTACTCTCAAGCCTTTGCATGCCCAGTTCATTTTCTATTTCCTGGTGAAGCCTTGGAAAGAGGGGGGGGGGAGAGAGAATGAGGAGCCTATACATTTACTTACAAAAGTAAATGTTGCCAGATCACCAACAGCAGTCCTGATCCCAGCAGCTGCAATCTGGCAGCTATTCTGAATTGAGATGTATTCCCAAACTGAGTTCCAAATCACCAGACCTGTATATAGCTCTACTTGCTATATATTTTAATATAGCATTTCAAAATCATTATTAGATAGATGTAGACACAGAAACCAACCCACTATCACTAATCTTTGTAATAGTTCATGTATATATCACAATCACTTTGTTGTCTGCCGGCCTGATTTTTAACCAAAGAGCAACATAAACATTTCAAAAAAAATTATTCAAGATTTAAGATAAGAATATATCAGGGTATTATTCTACAATAGGTTACCTTTCTAAAATCTGAGGCAGTTCATGGACAATCAGAATAGCTGTCCTAATCCAAAATGCTGGGGAACTGCTCTGGTCACAAGGATGGCTAAGTTTTAAGGACCACATGGGTTGCCATGTAGGCTGCAGTATCCACAATAAACTTGTTTGTGATATTGTTGATTGTTTTGCATTTCAAAACATTACACTTAATTTTGCATCTTTATTTATTTACTTAATTAATTTATACCCCACCCATCTAGTCAATTAACTACTCTGGGCAGCATCTTGGCTCAAACTTCCACCATTTTCAATTAGATTTTACTTATAACCTGCCTTTACATGTCAGTCGTACTTCACATGCAGTAACACCTATCTCCCCTTCTATGCCTGTTTCAAAATATCAAACCAGAGACAAGCGTTCTGCATAAGGTCAGAACCTGCACATTGTTTTTAACAGATTTTTCCCTATGTCCTGATCCGCAGCACCTGCCTAATGTAAAGCATACTATAATTTCAACGCTACATTAAACTGAAATCAACAAGAGCTGGTAAGTAACCTGAAAAGGGCGAGTTTTACAACCACAGTCCAAGAGTGTGTAACAAGTCTGAGTTCCGAATTACATCTGACTTACAGGGACCCTGATAAGGCTTTTAAGATAAGTGAAATGACTAAGTTGTTTTTACCAGTGCCAGCCAGACTTTATGACTCTGGCCATATGTCACGACGGAAGTAGCAGTTGGCAGGATGAAGCTTCCCGCCAACGAAGAGGCTGAGCTTTAGAGCATCGGTACTAAGATGGAAGGAAGCCCACTGAACGAGGCCAAACCTCTGAATGCAGAGGGGATTGAGCAGGGCTAGTGCTCCAGCTGCCTAGGCAGCCTCCGCCTCTCAAGGACAGGGCCCACCATACAGCCTTTATGGCCGTCAAGGAGCCACCCACCCCCGGGCGCTCCTGTGGTCCCAAGCCAGGAACGACGGAGAGCACGGCGTGACACCAGGGCGCCATTCCTAGTGGTTCCAGAAAGAGGGAAGCCACCCACCCCTTCCTTGCACTGCCCAGAGCCGCTCCTTCTCTAACTCCTACAGCCAGGCAGGGGGCCTAGTTCCCGCTGCGCAGCTCTATCGGTTGAACTACTCCCCCTCAGGCATAAGGCGGGACCGTGAAAGAGGAGCAGCAATTGCGGCGCTTTGCTGCCTTTCGCCATGATAGGTCCGCCCACTTCCCGGAGCAACGGGAAAGAAAAACCGTTCGCCCCTCGCCACAAACGACACGCTTGGAAAGGGAAAAAACGAGCGAGGGGGGCGGCGGAAGGGAGGCACTTACCAAGATCCCGGTCAAATAAAAATCACCTTTCCTCGAAACCTTCGAGAGACCACGCCAAAGAATATGTCGCCACGCTTGGACCTCATTTATATAGCCCCGTTGGCTCAGCCTAGCTTTATTCTCATTGGTCAAAGGTGGCCGTTCTGATTTCGGATTGGCTTGTGGGACCAGATGAAACCATTATATTTCACAAGACTCCCAAGAATGTTCGCAGCTGCGCTCTTTTCAGGCGTCTTAAAGAGGGTGGTGTCTCGTTTGCTGAGCGAGTCGCTGGTCGGTGGGTATTATTACTCCCTAAGTAAACGGGATTCCTGTAGTTTCACAGTGGCGCAAAATACAAGTACAGTAGTTCTCTTCCCAGCGGAAGGCTCTGATCCTTGGGATCACATAGTCGGGGGTATAATCCTGAAAAATATTCTGTATTGTGCTTTATAATGGCATCTCTGGTTACAGTTTATCACGCCAATAGTTCAAAACTGTATTCCGCCACAGAGATAATTCTTGCACGTGTTACTTGAAAGTAAGGGGAAGGTAATGATTCTTGATATGGAATCATTCTGAGTGGGTAAAAGACAGATCCATGAAATCAAGAACAGATCCTGATGAGTTCATGGTTTTTTGGTGGGACGTTTTGGAAACCACCGTCAAAGCATAGATCCCACCAATTCCCAAAAATTACACCAGAAAAATAATGAATCCTTGTTTAGTGCATCACTGCCGTAGTGCAAAAACATGGATCTGAGGCACAGATCAACATGATTTCATATGAGTGTTAGATATAATCTTTCCTAAACAGCTGTTAGACCATAGATCCCACTTGCACCCACAAACTACACCAAAGAAATGATAGGTCCTTCCGTGCATGGCTTTACAATGGTGCAAAAACATGAATCCAAAGCACAGGTTCTCTTGGATCCATATAATTTTTATGTGGGATAATCCCCAAACTACTGTCCAATCATAGGCCCCATCTCTGTCCACAGACTACAACACAGAAATCATGGGTCATTGAGTACATATTTGTCTTCAGTGTGGGAGGGATTTTCACTCTCAAATTGGCCTCAACCACACTAGATGCTGTTCCAAGTCCTCCAGACAGAGCACGTTACCATAGTCTCTCGAGACTGAAGGATACCTAATCTAATTGAGTACATGGCTTTGCTGGGGCACTAAAACATGGATCTGATACACAGATGCTCATGAATTCACTTGGTTTATATGCAGGATCATCCCCAAACTACTGTCCAATCCTAGGGCCCACCTGTTCCCAGCAGACACCACAGAAATCATGGGTCTTTCAGCAATGATTAGGCAGTGGTGTAAAAACAGGGATCTGAAGAATCCTCACGGTTCCATTTGATTTTTTATGTAGGATCAGCCCCAAACCATTTCTGTGGTGTAGTCTGTGACCAGAGATGGGCCCTGCAAGTGGAAAATGGTTTGGGGATTGTCTTAATTAAAAATGATGAGGATATTTGTGAAACCACCATCAAATCATAGAACCTATCTACTGTATTCTCAAAAACTACACCAGAGGACTAATGGATCCTTCAGCACATGACTCTGCAGTGGTGCAAAAACATGAATCTGAGGTACAGATCCACATGATTTCATGAGTTTCAGAAGTAATTCTTCCTCTGCTGTCAGATCATGACTCCCATTTGCACTTAATAGACTACACCACAGAAATCCTGGGTTCCTTCAGTGCATGGCTTTGCAGTGGTGCCAAAACACGAATCAGAAGCACGGATCCTCATGGATCCACATGGTTTTTCTGCAGGATCATCCTCAAACTACTCTCCAATCATAGTAACCATCACTGGCCAAAGACTAGACCCTAGAAATTGTGTGTTCTTCAGCACATGGCTTTGCAGGGCTGTAAAACCATGGGTCCCACGAAAAAAAAAACTTACAAAATCATCAGGACTTGTTCTTGATTTTATAAATCCACCTTTTACTTTCTTCCTCATTCTGATGTCAATTATGTATTTTGCAAACTTGCTTTTTGAACCTTTGATGTTCCACACTCTTAGTCTCTGAAGTACCTTTCTCTGTTATTTTTCTGTAGAAATGTTTTTGAGAAACCTAGTAGTGTAAAGTTTTGAATGAGAAAGTGGCTTCACAGTGAATCTTAAAAGGAACAGCAGAGGTGATCCAGAGGAAAGGATTGGTAGAGGCAGGACCAGAGGAAGAAAGGAAAGAAGGGGGAGCTGGGGGCTGGAATGTTACTCACATAGCATCCAGTATAAACTCCCAAATCAATCTACAGCACCTGTGTGAGCACTGATACCAATTTCAAACATAATGCAGGCTGTGAAAAAAAATTGTAGTCACACCCACAGTCATCTTGTACTGCATAGGCTTAGGCTCCATTTTTCATTATGATTGTAGAACACTTGCTAGAATGAAGTAGTAAGTCACAACTAGAGCAGTCCTGTTGACTTGATGGAATGTGTGGAGGAGCTGACTCATCAAATCCTGACTGATTCAAAAGGCGTACTCTACTTGCAATTTACTATTAGATTTAGCAGATACGTCCTCAGTATTGGAATTAAATAAATATTATCAAAATTAAAGTGGGTAAAGAGAGGAAAATGTCAATATATTGTGGCATTTTATAAACATGCATATTTATTTTTTGTGTCATCTTTAATGGACAAAAATCCAGTTCTTCAGACACCAACTAAATGTTATGCATTATCTCAGGCAAACAACCAAAAAAAAAAAAAAACCCAAAAAGTATTGGCACCTAAGATTAACCAATTTATTTCAGTATCAACTGTCCTGGATTACGTGTTTAGACAGCATCTGCAAACTTCTGGAAATAAGTAACTAAATATGTAAATATTTGCACTTTCCAATAATTTCTGTGTCACCTGAACTAGGTCACTGCTTCAGCCTCGTGAAGAGTCAAAATGTGGGAGTAGAGGTGTAAAGCAGTTAAACCTGGTCTCATGCAGCAGAAAACTGCATTCCAATCTTTTCTCACCCAGAAATTGTGACATTCCAGCCAATGCAAACACAAAAGTAGCCATGTTAATCTATGAAAACAAAACACAGAAATCCATTAAGTGAGCAACATTTTTATTACGTTGAACTAAAGTTGCACAATAGTAACGTGCAGGCTTTCCAGTTCTCCAGAACTCTTCATAGTCTGGGTAGTTTTTAAAAAATGGGGGTGGAATACGTGTCGTGCAGGCTTTCCAGTTCTCCAGAACTCCTCATAGGCTGGGTAGTTTTTAAAAATGGGGGAGGAATATGTGCGGAAATCCAAAGATTTGGCCAGAAGCTGTAGCCATTCACACTGTGGTGACACCAAGATGAAAGCAGAAGAGTTGAAATTAAGTGTCTTGTATTTGGACAAGAATGTGTGCAGAAACCAAGTTTCAGTAGAAATTATAAATTCTAAGAAGAGAACATACCTCCAGATCAGAACACAGCTGAGCTAAGTGGGCTACAAGCTCCATACATACAGTATATTTGTTGTTATCAGCAAATGTTTTTTTAAAAAAGCATTTAATAATACAGGTAATAACTCTAGTACCCAACGTAGTGTAGTGGAAAGAGTGATGGACTAGGATACAGAGGGCCTGGGTTTCATTCACGACTCAGCCATGGCAATTCATTGATGGTGTAGAACTGGTAAATAAGACCGCTCCTTAAATTTCTCACTTACCTTGAGAGCTCTGTTAGGGTCACTATAGATCAGTTGTGCACATAACAATAGCTACAGGACAATAATCATAACATTTCCACTGAACAATTACTTCAATAGCTTATACAAAAAATTGAACAAAAATAGCAAACAATATTTTAAAAAGTTCCCTTAATATATGAAAAAGATGCAGTGCATGAATTAGAATAGAATAGAATTTACTCCATTGTCATTGTACTTCCGTACAACAAAATCAAATGCCATATCCAGTGCACATAATAAAACACACAAAACATAGCACATTACACAGGAAACATCCCTCTCATTCACATCCACCTTCTTCACATTCAATTTCCCATCGCCCAACACATTAATATTGCACCATATAGTATACAGTACCTGCAGCTCTGGGATAGAAACTGTTTTTCAACCTATTTGTCTTTGTTTTAATTATCCTATACTGCCTACCAGATGGTAACAATTGAAAGAGGAAATGGCCCGGGTGTGATGGATCTTTGAGAATATTTTAGGCTTTCTTAAGAGAGTGGTAATAAATAACATTGTTCAGCCTAAAAGATTATTCCATGTGTTGCAATGAGTGATCAGAAGTCTTATGTTTTCACTGTTTTTTTATTGTAGTAAATAAAAGAAAACTGTATCACAACAAAATCACCTTTCTTTCCAGTTCTCTTTTCACTTTTATTTTCTGTTCTCTTACCTGATGGTCTTCATCATCATAGGCATCCTTCAGTCTCGAAAGACTATGGTAACATGCTCTGTATCGAGAAGTGTCCTCTCCAGAGCATGAAGCCTGGGTAAAGTAGTATGGAGGATAGGCTGTTACCCAAGCAGCAAAGCCCCCCTCTCCACGTTGCTGAAATGGTCCAATGGAAAGGCAAGAGCCAATACAACTGGTTCCAGCAATGTCGCAGGAGTTGGCAGAACGACATGAACTGCCTTCGGGACTCCAGCTACGGATTTTGCCTCTAGGTTACCTCCTGAAGCCTTTTCCATGAGTGGATATAGCCACAAGGCAGTGGAGGTTTGAAATTGGAGTCTTCCTTCTCCTAGATGGCTGAGCTGAGGCTGAAGACCAGGCTTGCCTGAATGGACATTTTGCTGAGGAGTTTGTTTTTGCTGGGATTTCATTTGTTCCCACCACCACCACCACTCCATGGCCTAGGAGGTGTGGCTTTCCCTCCTTAAATGAGGGTGTGCCAGGACCTGGGCCCTTTTCCTTAGGAGGCTGAAGACCAGGTTTGCCTGCATGGACATTTTGCTGAGGAGTTTGTTTTTGCTGGGATTTCTTTTGTCCCCCTCCCCCCACATGGCCTGATGGTCTTAATGAGGTAGATTTGTCTGACAGAGCAATATTCTGTGAAGGTTCTACTCTAGGGCTTCCCAACCTTGGGTCTCCAAACGTTTTTGGAGTAAAACTCCCAGAAGC